GGATTTAAAGAGTTGACATTCCAGGATCTTGGAACAGAGGAATGCACAGCCACACACCGCAGCTGGTCAGTCTCAAAGCCCAAGTGTAAAAATAATTAAAAACACCTCCCTTTCTCTAAGGCTCACGACTATACCACTCTCTCTTTCTGTCTCTCTCTCTCTCTCTCTCCTCCACCCTCTCTCTCTCTCTCTCGGTCACTCTAACGCGCTCTCTTCCTGGCTCTCTCCATTCACACTCTCTCTCAGTCTCTCCCACACACTCTCTCTTGGTCGCTCTCACCCTCTCGCTGTCTGTCACTCTCCCACCATTCTCTCTCTCTCTCTCCTACCACTCAACTGATTTCTCCACCAAATACCTCGCCAGTTCCCTCTTGAATTTGCGAACACAACCTATGTCCACTGCCTCCCTTTCTCACGCACTCACCACTCTGTGTAAACCATTTGTAAAACCAGAAGGAGTGACAGGATTATTAATTATTATGTAGTCAACCACTTTTAAACACGGCTAGCACAAGAGGAATAATAAAGCCCATTCTCGTTCCAGTTAGCTCCACACCCACACGCTGCGTTAATAACAGCACATTAAATCAACCACACACACCAGACACAATCTCCTCCCCTTGTAAGAAGCAGGTTATGAGGAGCAGGAATAGAGATAGCAACGGTTCAGAACCCTGGTGACACCCTCTCTAGAGATGTCAAGACTGACAACAACCTGCATTTACACAGCGCCCTTCACGTGGGGTAGCCTTTCAGAACGCTCAACAGTGGCGGAGCCTGATGGCCAGCTGGGGAGGGAGGAGGTTACCGTAAGCACGATTGAGGACCAAGATCTTCCGTTGTGATCTAAAAAGAGGGGCGGGAGAGAGTGACAAGAGTTTCGGGGCATAGTGGCTGAAAGCGCGGCTGTCGACGGTGGAGCGGAGGGGACGAGGGACAAGCAGGAGGGAGGCCGGAGACAGCCGAGCGGAGGCGGCGGCGGGGAGCGGAGTGGGGTAGAAAGCAGGTCAGGAGGTTAGGGAGGTGCCAGCACAAAGGGGGGCGAAAAGAAAGAGAGGAATCAGTTTAAAGTTTCAGGTGTGTTTGTGTTAAATGGCTGGAGGCTGCCAATGATCTGGAGGCAATAGGTCATTCGGCCAGTCATTCAGACCAGCTCAGGTGAATTTCTCAAATGTTCCCCATTCAATTCACTGGACTCCCTGAAGCAGAGGATCGAGGGGAGGGAGGAGAGAGGCCAATCTGCTATGTGCGGTCGATCACACCTAGCCCTGAAGGCAGTGATAAAATCAGATCTGTAGCACATCAGGCTGAGGGAATAAACAAACACCTAGTCAGTCGGTCAGAACTGTGCTCGATTCTGCAGAAAAACACATCGTTCCCACCAACAGCTCTGCACAATATTGGGCAATATCCTGTGTCTGTTTATAACCCAGGCTCTCAGAGTGGATTTGCATAACCATTTACAAAAGCTTGTACAAATGATATGCCTTGATATCTCTCTGTTCCTTATTACGCACGGGATTGCTTGCACATCAAAAACAGCCCGTGAATCACAAACCAGGCGTTGCTCATCCCATTCCTTAACCCTTCAAAGACTTCTTTTCTTTTCCAGTTAGTCCTACTGTACACTACTGCAATCTTACAGGAGCAGAGGAACAGGAGGAGGCCATTCAGCCCCTTGAGCCTGTTCTGCCATTCTTCTAGATCGTGGCTGATCTGTAGTACCTCAACTCCATTTACCCGCCTTTGCCCATATCCCTTGATATCCTGGCTATCAAACCTAACAGACATCCATAACACTGCCCCGTGGCGCACTCGAGCTTAAAAACAATTATTCTTAAGAAAACATAGGGTGATTATTCAAATTATGCTCGCCCGACACTGAAATGGTTAAAGCTGGTCATTCCACCCACAAAATATACAGTCAATTCACTTTACAGTGTATCTTGTGTTGCACTTTGAGACGCCTGGAAGAAGTGATAAGACACTGCATCAAATGCAAGGATTGTTATTATATTTCTGAATTATATCTCCTCCATCCCTCCTTCTCCCTCCCCCTCTGTCTCCCTCCCGATCTCTTGCTCTCCTCTTTCTCTCTCTCTCTCGTCCTCCTCCTGCTTGTGTAAATGCCAAGTTACAACTCTCTCCTCCTCCCACCCCAAACCCGCCCCTTCGACATTGGCTTTGCCATGTGCTGTCTGTCTGATGGCCTCCGCGCTCAGGGAGCAGGCTGATGTGCTCCACACAGACTGGTTTGTCAAGGTACAGCAAACCCCAGCTCAGCAAAGCCATCAAATTTGTGAGTGTTGCACTGCTATATGGCGTGGATTCCTGACTGTCCAGCGCCTTGGGACGTCCTCTCGACGTGAAAGGCGCTGTGTGAATGTCATTTGTTGTTGTTGCTAACCCTTCTCCCAAATCCCCTCTCGCTCAATCAACAGCAACAACCTGCAGTTACACGGCACCCTTCACGCAGCGTAGCAAGCCTCGGAGCCTGAATTAAAGATTACTTTTCAAAATCTTTATTATAGGTTGAGATCCCAGGTACAGTTTGGAATCGTGCCCCTTCCTGTCTCCCTCCGCTTGTCCAGACCCGCCTGCAACCTTCGGTGATTAACTTACGAGAGCACATGGTTTACCCGGAAAGTCTAGCTTTCCGCAAAATTCCTTCTCATTCAGAAGTAAATTAGATAAGATTTTTTTAAGGAAATAATAATGGTGGGATACATACAGTGTACAAAATGTCAGCCAAGTGTCAAACGTAGCTTTAGAGGCAGAATAATAATAATAATCCTTGCATTTGATATATCGTCTTATCACGTCTTTGAGACGTCCCAAAGTGCTTCACAGGATACACTGTAAAGTGTAGTGACTGTGTGTTTTGTGGATGAAACGTGGCAGCCAATTGTGCACAGCAGTGTCCCACAAACAGTCGTAGATTGAGTGACCACATTATTATTACTATTATTTTGGAGAGAGTATTACCCCCAGAAAAGCGATCTACCAATCAAGCAACAACTGGCTTCCTACTTACTATTAGGTAAACAGAGGCGGGTGTGTGGAGCAAAGAAACTTGTCCAGCGTTTCACCCTGTCGGGAATCAAACCCATGTCTCTCGGTTGTGAGGCGAGTGCTCTAACCACTGAGCTACAGGACTCCATATAATTTGAGTTCATGACATGTCCACGCGACTGCCAGGATGGTGCAAGGTGAACGGAGCAGGAACAAGAGGAGGTGAGGGGTGGGGAGAGTGTGGATCCCAAGGCATGGCCAAAGGGACAGCAGTTTAAGAGGGTCCTGAAGGCAAGGAGAAGCAAAGGGACGTGGAGGAAGAGTTCCACATCCACAGCCCAAGCCTACACATGGAAGGGGAAGGGGAGGAGGGGGTGGGGCAGAGCGAGGAGAGGGGAAGAACGAGGAATTAGCTGAGCTTTTTGGGAACATAGGGGCCACATTCATCAGCGACTCAAAAGCATCTCAATCCACTCCGTCCTTAGCACATGCTATCAACTTAACCCCTTCCTTCACACTCGCTGTGCTCAGAAGGTATTTCATGCTCCAGGCTCCATTTAATCCACCTGCGCCACACATTCCAGCACAGCCACTGTGGATTGTGTAGGCATTCCACCTGCATCTCTCCGCTTGTTTCAAAAACTACAGCTCACACCCGTCACACAGCGTAGTGTCTCGGAGCGCTCAATATTGCCTGAGCTTGACACTGAGCTGAGGGGGGGGGGGCCGGGAACGGAGAGAGGGGAGGTGGCCGTAGGCACGGTCGAAGAGGTCACATACCCCCACCCCTCACCTCCATAACATGGTTCCCAACATTAACAAGTCCTCGGTTAACAAGCTTTGGAGAATGTCTCACACAAAATATTTTTTAGAATAATATTGTTAGGATATTATTCTGAACACGGAGACAAGACCCGAGACAATCCCCTGCTCTGGCAGTAATAATATATATAATAATTAAAAGTAGAAGTAAATGTGAAGAGAAAAGGGTTCTGTAGAACACTGTGACCTCCTCTCTAGCCACAGGTGTTGTGTACACGCACTTGGTGACATGTTATATGGTTCCAATTAGACACAGTTACAGTGGACTGTACAGTCTCCACACAGTCCACATGCACCAGAGATGGTGCAGTGCCCAAGGACACAGCTCAGTTAAACACGACCACGAACACAGGTTTAGGACATTCAGAGACTTTATGATTCCCTGGACACGAATCGGCTGAGACTATAGCAAGCGAGTGCACAGAACAACCAGCTCTTTCCCCATTTACCTCAACCCGTTTTACTGCTCAGGTGCCTGTTCATCTTCCCTACTGATGCCACTCTGTATGAGGGTGCAGTATAAATGGGACACTAAACAGGTGGATTGCGCTACAAAGCAGTCGGTATTGTGTAGGCTTTTTAAGTTTTTTTAATCACAAGCGAGGAATACCGTCGTGAATAAATGCCTTTGCATCAAACGCCATAAAAGAATTTAGTCTTCGTAGCTTTGATTGTTTCTTGGCCTGTAATCCTATCAGTCCACAGGTCGTGATTAATTGACGGATCACTCACTACTAATGGAGCAGGGCAAACCTCTTTGTCTCACAGGGAAGATGCCTTTCCCACGTTTTTTGCAAGATCTGTGTGGAGCGGAGAGCGAGTGAGTGAGCGAGTCTTTCTGTGGCGGGAAAAGTGCCCGGGTGGGGGGGGGGGGCGGGGGGAGAGATATCAATATGAGCTACTGAGAATGATATGATAGCAGCACAAACCCTTCTCTGCTTGACAAGCTGCAAAGCAGACGCGTGCACACACACACACACACACACAGACATACACACAGACAGAGACAGACACATACACACAGACAGAGACACGCGCACACAGACACACACACAGACAGACACACGCACAGAGACAAGACACACAGACGCGCACACAGACAGAGAGGTGCACACAGACAGAGACGCGCACACAGACGCAAGATTTTAATGAAAAGAGCGACTTACAGGCACGATGTGTCTCCGTGCGAGGTCTTGATGCATCGCCCATTCTGACAAAGCGGGGAGTTTTCGCGACATTGCAGCGCTGGAAGAAAGTAAAAAGATCATTTGAAAGGGATGAAAGAAAACAACAACAAAACAATTGTGTTTGTCGAGATAAATTCAAACCCGCAGGCGATTACTACGTGTTGAAAGCAATCCGATTTAAGAGGCCTTTATTTGTTGCAGTAAAAATACAGTCAATTCATTTACAGTGAGTGCATTCTTTGAAGCACTTTGAGAAAGTCTCAACAATGTTAAAAGGGGCTATATCGAATGCAAAGTTTATTATTATTTATTATTATTACGATAGGAAACAATGAGATTGTTCTTGAAAAATTTGTTTTTTGAAACAATGAAATATCCTGGTTTACGTCGGTTGGCAAAAACACGAGCAACTCATTGACAAAACTATCCCGTCAGCAAATAATTATAACAATCCTTGCACTTCATATAGCGCCTCATCACGTCTGCGAGGCATCTCAAAGCGCTTCCCAAGATTTACTGCAAAGGGTCGTGACTGTACAGTAGAACCGTCAACAAACAGCAAAGTCAAAAATATTGAGAAACCGTTTTCCCCTCTGAAATACCCAGATCTAAACACAATCATACAAAAGTTTGATGTACAAGCTGGGGAGAGGTTTAAATGATTAGGGGCATTCAGAATAAACCAGTTAAACTTTCTCCCCCTACCCCACAACAGCAGTAAACTTACTGAAACGCCCCAAACACACCAGCCTCCTCTCCCATTGTGACTAGCGATCAGACAGAGACTATAATACCCTTGCATTTGATACAGCGCCGCATCACGTCTTCAAGATGTCTCTAAGCGCTTCACAGGATACCCTGTAAAGTGTAGTGACTGTATATTTTGTGGGCAAAACGCGGCAGGCAATTGCACTCAGCAGATATACATATATACTCCAGAGAGATAGAGAGAGAGAGAGCAGCCCAGTCTCAACACATCAAGAAGTTATCTCCCCTCTGGCCACATCTGTGCGGTCGGAGAGGGAAAAATACACGTGAAATTGGATTCAGGAGAGGATCAGGTGAAGAAAAGGCGATGGAAAGGACCAGAAAAGCACACAACAACAATATAGTGCCCCCTCACGCAGGGTAGGGTCCCAGAGCGCTTGACGGTGGCAGAGCACGATGCTGAGCCGGGGGGAGACAGGGAGGAGATAAATCATAGGCACGGTCGAATAGGAAGGTAATTAGGCGGGACCTGAAGATGGGAAGGAAGGAGAGATACATACAGGCATCAATTAGGAGGGGAAGCTCATTTGTGGCAGTTTACAGTTTGCTTTCGGTCGCTGCTCCCTTCAAAGACATTCACCTCCGTGTGCAACTGACAGCTTGTGTGCTCTCCCTATCCTATCCCAGCTTCACCAGAGACGGGCTTATCTAGGTCACAGGCAGGCACGGTGAATAAACCGGACAAAATCATCCTGTCCACGACATCCAGTAATGGGAGCAAGCAGACTAGCCTACTACAGATGTACAGCGACAATGGGAACTGCATCTTTAATAATAATATTAATAACCCTCACAACTGATATACTGCATTATCACGGCATTGAGTCATTGCTTGAGTGACCGTTGTGTATGGAGGGATTATTACCCCCGGGAAAGCGATCCGCCAATCAACTAACAACCGGGTTCCTACTTACTGCCGGGTAAACAGAGGCGTGTGTGTGGAGTAAGGAAACTTGCCTAAGGTTTGGCCTTTAAGGGCTTTGGATTCAGTCACTTCTCATCTGTGTTTTTTTGCTTACTTTCAGCGTAATAAATAAACAAGTCGTTAAATAAATAAAGTGCAAATTCTTTTAAAATAAAGAATGCTTTCTGTGATGTCTGATGAGTGAGCCAAGTTTGGAATAGGTGTACAATACATTGTGCTCAATGCCCTTGAGCTAGGGAGGCAGGGAAGAAATATGAGCCGAGGTGCCATGCACACTGTGGCAGCACTTTATAATTTGGCTATAAGTTTGGCTATAAAGTAGATGATGGATGAAGATAGGCTATGCTGTGTTGCCCTCTCTCTCTCTCACCTCCCAGGTCAAATAATTCTCCGCCATTCAATGTCTAGACTCGCACATGAATGATAGCCGTCAAGCCAATAAGCCATATTCCAGCAAATAATAATAATAATTAATAATCCTTGCATTTAAGATAGGTCAACTTAATCTAAAATGAAACTCAATGTTATACTGTACTTGGAAATATAACATCAAGAGGGTGTAAAATTAGTTTCCTTACGTAAATGTGTGGGTTTTATTCTGTGGAATATGATTTTAATATAGACATGCTTGCAATGAGAAATGCATTTTCTTAATAATAATCCTGGCATTTGATACAGCGCCTTATCACGGCTTCGAGACGTCTCAAAGCGCTTCACAGGATGCACTGTAAAGTGAATTGACTGGGGATTGGGGGGGGGGGGGGTGTGAAACGTACAAATCAATGTTTTTCGGCAGAGGTGAGAAAAACGAAGTGGTGGGGGGGGGAACGGAGAGGGTGGCAAAAAAAGCACCCCCCCCCCCAAAAAAAAATCAAAGTGACAAGTGTTACTATTCCGGGAATGACGTTGAGATCACGTTGAGGCTGTATTTTTTTTAATGTTTAACCAAAGCAATTCATTAAGATTTCTCGTACATAAAAGTCCCTCAAAGAGATTGAAAGAAGAAATGTGAACGTACGAAAGTCCTTTAGGGGAGAGAGAGAGGAGAGAGAGAGAGAAAGAAGAATCCCTCAGGGCCCGCTGTTAATCATTGAAGAAACAGCCACCGACTGACTGGCTATTCATCGGACAAAAGGCTGAGTGACTAACACACAGTGAGACGCTCCACTGCTCCAGCCTGAGGGAACGCAGACTGGAAAAAACCTGGGGAAATTGGTTGGCAGTTTCACCAGTTTACATTGCTAGATCTAAGAGCCTCTTGTTGCAATAAAAATGTGGCATGTTAATGTCAGAAAGTGTGGGGGGGGAAAACACAAGAGAACGCAACTTAACATTCAGTGCAACAGAGGAGCGAGAGGAGAGGGGAATGGGTTAACGCACTGTGCCTCGGAACAGCAGCTGAGATTGAACTGAGTCCTTCATCTCGAACTGGTATGGTCTGTGGGAGACATTTAGAGACTGAGGTGCAAGGGGCTTCCTCTAAGCCCGGGGGCAAATTCGGCCACAAAATAATAATAATAATCCTTGCATTTGATATAGCGCCTTATCATGTCTTCGAGTCTCAAAGCGCTTCGCAGGATACGCCGTAAAGCGTAGCGACTATGTGTTTGGTGGGCGAAACGTGGCAGCGAATCGCGCCCAGCGATGTCCCACAAACAGTCAAGGAATGAGTGACCACATTATTATTATTTTTTNCAAAGTAAATCAAAACACACAGTCAAGTCACTTGACAGCAATAATAAATAATAATAATCCTTGCATTCGACATAGCGCTTTTCACGTCTTTTAGACGTCTCAAAGCGCTTCACAGAATACACTGCAAAATGAATTGATTGTAAATTTTGTGGGCGAAATGCAGAAGCTTTTTGAGACATCTCAACGACGTGATAAGGTGCCGTGTCAAATGCCAGCATCACGACTAGTATTATTATGAGGAGGAAAAATACAAGAGAGAGAAAAAAAAAGGTCTTTCTGTCAGCGTGCACGAGTGTTGATTTCATCCGAGCCACCGAAATAAGTTTCCGCTGATAACTAATTGATCTTCTTGGAAGCCTTTGCAAATTGCATTCAGTGTACCAATAATTGGTGGTTCTGGGGCACACAGACGCCTCATCAATGGGATCAGAAAGTTGCAAACTGCAGACACAAAGCTTGATGTTAATGGCCCTGGGGGTGGGCGGTGGAGCAGCGGAGGGCGGGGAGGGGAGGGGGGGTTTAAGGGGGAGGGGGAGTCGAGCATTCAAGGACCAAGTTCAAAAGTCAGGGTCCTCGCTGAAGGAGCAACTTCAAAACCACGTTTGAACCCACTTCCCCCGTCTGCCTGATCAAATGTTCCTCTCTCTACGGTTTGCAACTGTTCATATCCCTTGACGGGCTGGGCGATATCAGGGCAGGAACGTGGGGGGCAGAGCGGGCGCGGGAATGGGGGGGGGGTGGAAATGGAGTTACAAGTCCATCGGAATTGTAATCCCCCCCCACCACCGCCTCTGGCGTTGGCAGAACAATGGAACAATGAATCGTGCTGTGACTTACAGATGGCCAAGACTCAGGCAACCGCAAAAACTTTTATGAACCGAATCAAAACCGGGCTAATTGCGTACTCTTCCTGCCCCCAAACTGCACGTTCTCGGTCCCTCTCTCTCTCTATCTCCCTATTGAGAGAGGAAAGTATAATATGTCACATACCAATGCGAGAGAGCCGGCTGCTCGCGAGCTACCACTATAGTGGTGTGGCTTAGCACTGGTTCCCAGGGAGACAAAGATGTGAGGGATTATTTTCCCACTCGCCATCTCTCTCGCTCTCCTGGCCCTCCGTTCAAAACCTCGCCTTATATATATTTTTTCTTTTTTAAAAAAAATCAAAGAAGAGTGCTCAGATTAAAAAACTTTCAACTCATACTTTCGCCCACAAAGTATATTCCCTTCGCAATACATTCTGCGTAGAGTTGTGCGACGTCTCAAGGATGTGATAAAAGTGCTGTATCAGATGCAAGGATGATTACTATTATATTCCTCCACCATCCATCGCCCACACAAGATTTGAAGGGCAAGTTAATGTAACAAAAATAGGGGTACGGCGACGGTTTTTGATCAATGGATCAATAGCTCTGAGCAAAACGCTATAGTTTCAAAGGCTCTCAAAAGTGTGCGTGTGTGTCTGTGGGCGCGCGGAGATCATGTTAACATCATCTAAAAGATAGCTAGCCAGCTGCGGAGATCTCTCTCTTCACATTTGGTCACGGATTCAATCAAATTCCTGCACAGCTCAACACACACAAAAAAAACACCTCGGCACCTTTCCGACTAAAGGCACGATTTATCTCCATTAGACATTTTTTTTTAAAAAAAATGAGTCCACATTTGCACCGTTGGTCAAAAGTTTTTGAAAGTTTTTTAAAAAGTACCAGGCAACCCGCTCTTCCGCTAGTCGTCTAGCGAATTAGCATAAAATCTGCAGTGTTCAGTAATGAAGTACGTTAGTCACACATTAAAGAGTAATTCGCAGTCAAGACGCACAAAGTACACAGTTGCTCCACTTTACGGCAAATTCTGTAAAGCGCTTTCAGGCGTTTCGACGACATTCTAAGGTGCTATATCAAAGGCAAGGATTATTATTATTATTACTGAAGCACAAATATTTTAGAGTTATTTTCTGAAGTGCACACACTCAGCCAGAGGATCTGATGTGTGTGTGGGCAGCACTTTGTCCATCTCACAAATCGGATAAAAGCGTTCTTTTTATACAGAAAAACAGCATCAAATCTTATTCCAATTTCCAACAACTTCAAATAATGAAAACAATACTGGCAAAAAAAAACACACGCGCAAACGATGCCGCCGGTCTGATTGTAACTCTCATTTAAATACAAAGCACCAGCTTGCAAACAATACACTAACTCACTTTCCCTCCAGAGTTTTCAATCGGGAAAGGAGAAGCGAAGTGTAAAACAAGGACACAAACGACTGAGCTCATTTTTTCTCCCCCCCCCTCCACCCCGAACAAAAAAAAAGTAACTTTTGAAAAAGTTTAGAAAGACGGGAGTTGTTTGTGCACCTGTGCCTCGCAGTTTTAAGAAGAGAAACGTGCATTATGCGGTTAGCGTAGCCGGGGGGGCGGTGGGGGTGACATGCATTACTGTGTGGGTGGCAAAGCTGGTGGGGAAACAATTCAAGAAATGATATTAAAAGACTTTTCGGAAAAAAAAATTTGGAAAGACCGATCGATTGATCGATCGATCGTTCCCCGAGAGAAGCCGGCAAACAAACTCCTGGTGGCTTTTCCTGAGCGTGCCTACCTCCTCCACACGCCGCGGCCAGCAACAGCCCCCAAACCAAGCTGCACACTGTTAAATGCCCCATTGTTTCCAGGCGCAAAAGTCTCTTCTAACTCCTTTGCTTTGCCGGATTAACTTATACATCCAATGCCAAGGTGCAGCCAGGAAAGTCCAGTCCAGCTTGTCATGGGGAAAGAGGAGACGGTTGAAGTCGTTCTGTAATTCTATGTAAAATATCTTAAGGTGCTGCAAGATCCTCAGCCCAGACCTCCCCCAAACTTTCCCCAAACTCCACTCAAACTTCACAACTTTTTCAGTCCACGGGCAACTTGAGCCGCCTCACACCAGCCGGCCCATATCCCTCCACGCCACCAACTTTCTTAAGCATTGCCTCAAACTCCTTGCGTTGTGGAAACAGCATCAATCAGCCCCCACCCCCCTCCCCACCAAATACAACCTGTTTGATATCTCATGTCCACCACACTTTTTTCACCCCCCACCCCCCCCCCACCCCCATCCTGAAATTTGTTAGCACTACTTTCTTCTTAAAGGGAGGTTTTCAAGGAAATTAAACACTTCGGGGTTCAATTTTGATTATTCCAATTTAATTGCTAATTGAAATGCATACGTGCACGCAAATAACCAAGCAAATCCGCGTCTTGTAATGTGAACTTTTTTAAGTTAGGTCAACGTGATCCAAAACAATACCTAATGTCAGACTGTACTTGGAAATATAACATCAGGAAGGTGTACAATTACTTTCCTTACATAAATGTGCGGACTTTAATCTGTGGATTATGATTTTAATGTAGACATTTTTTTAAAATAAGAATCCTTGCTTTTGATATACAGAGCCTCATCGGGTCGCTCAGACGTCTCAAAGAGGCTTCACAGCATATACTGTAAAATGAATCGACTATATTTTGTGGGAGAAGCTGATTGGGTACTATCCGTGATGGGGGGAAACGGTATCGGTATTGTAGGATTTTAAGTTTCGAAGAAGTTTTCGGTGACTTTAAGAGAGTGTTGCTTTAAGCCTTAAATGGGCTCCTGCGGAGGTATTTATTTTGGAGCCTGGGAACGGGAGTGAAAAGACAATAAATCACTGCTAAATGGGAGCTGCAGTTTGTAATAGGAACATGGCTGTGCTCCTCTGTGTCCGACACACACTGGCTCATGTCACAGCAGTGCGCTTCACCAGGACTGGGGAGCGTTCACTAAGGGGGGGGGAGAGAAACAGAAAGTCAGAAAGGAAGAAAGAGAAAACGGCAAAGATACCACAGAAGAATGACTGGGGAAAGAACGGTGGGGGTGGGGGGGAAATGTTAATAATAATCCTTGCACTTGATATGGCACCTTATTACGTCTTCCAGACGCCACAAAGTGCTTCACAGAATATATGAAAATATGTAAAGCGAATTGACTGTGTGTTTTGTGGACCGGATGCGGCAGCCAATTGCGCACAGCAGTGCCCACGGACAGTCGTGGATTGAGTGACCACATTACTGTTTCTTTTCAAAACTCCGCGAAGGGATTATTACTTCTGGAAAAACAATCTGCCAATCAACTGACAAGCGGGTTCCTACTTACTGCTTGGCAAACAGAGGCATATTTGCGGAGTAAGGAAACTTGCCTAACGTTTTGCCCTGCCCAGGAATCGAACCCGGGGTCCTCTCGCATGCGAGACGAGCGCCATAAACACTGATCATAGAATTATACAACACAGAAGGAGGCCATTCGGCCCATCGTGTCTGTGCCGGCTCTTTGAAAAGAGCTGTCCAAATCAATCCCACTCCCCCCCCGCTCTCTCCCTCCCCATAACCCTGCAAACTTGTCCTCCCCAAACAATTATCTATTTGGGGATCTATTTGGAGACGAGATGGAACCATTTCACTTTTAATGATAATTTAATAATAATCCCTCCAAAAAAACAAAACAATAATAAATTGGTCATTTTCAATCCAAGACTGTTTGTGGGACATTGCTTTGCGCAATTGGCTGCCGCGTTCGCCCACAAATATACAGTCCTATACAGTTAGTATACACTTTACAGTATATTCTGTGAAGCGCTTTGGGACGTCTAGAGACGTGAAAAGCGCTATATCAAATGCAAGGATTATTATTATTATTATTATTTTTCAGAGCAAGGGAATAACCGGGGAATATTCTGATTATTCCTTGCCCTGAAAAAATAGAATATTCTGCAGGAAAATGTTTTATTGGCTCATAGTGATTTAACATTTATTGTAGGAAAAAAAACATTCTGAACATCTCACTAAACACAGATCACTGGCTTTGCAGATAAAATTCACTTTGTCGCTGTGCGCAAATTGGCTGCCGCACTGGCCTATAAATATAGTCATTGCACACTTCACAGTAAAATTCTTTGACACAGACGTCCTGTCACTTAACCTCGAAAGACGCAAACTGACCTGGTGGAAAAGGCCAACGTCTGGTGGGGCAGAGGGTATGGGAACCTCACTGACAGCCCCCAAAATTCCACATCCGTGCTTACAGTCACCTCCCCCGGCTCGGTCAGGCCCCACCACTGTTAAGCGCTCCGAGACCTTGCCCTGAACGAAGGGCGCTATATAAATGCAAGTTGCTGTTGTCGTTCTCCATCTCTATACCATCACAACACTAAATTTGCTCACAGTGAACAACAGCAACAACACATTACATTTACGCAGTGCCATTCACGTCAGGAGGATGTCCCGAGGCATTGGAATCGGGGCTGGAGGGCAGGGAAGGTAGGGGTAGGAGGGTGACTGAAGGTGCGGTCGAAGAGAAGAGTCTTGAGATGTGCCTTGAAGTGGGTAAGGGTGGGGCGAGGCGAAGGGACTGAGGGATGGAGTTCCAAAGGGTGGGGGCAGAGAAGCTGAAGGTCTAGATACAGTAGTAATAATCCTTGCATTTGATATAGCGCTTTATCATGCGTCGAGACGTCTCAAAGCACTTCATTTCACCCACAAAATACATAGTCAATTCACTTTATAGTATATTCTCTGAAGCGCTTTGAGACGTTTCAACGACGTGATGAGGCACTATATCAAATGCAAGGATTATTATTATTATATCCACCCCACAGTCCCTTCGCCCCGGCCCCTCCCTTGCCTCCTCCAAGGCCCGTCTCAGTAATGTAACAGTCATATTATTATAAGAAAAAGCTCAGGGTCACTGAAAGGGTTAAGAAGGAGTATTTTATTTATTGCTGTATAGAAGTTTGATTCACCTTTGATGTCTTGGCAAGCTTCCAGCAGCATTGCATGCTGTTGTGAAGGCCACTCCCTATTAGGTAATGTACCAAAGTCACGTCCTCCACAACCTGTCACATCACCCCGTCAGTCTAATTGCACCTGTGTGAAATCTCAGCGTTGCCAAATGTCTGTGTTTCTTTGCAAAGAGAGTGCAACCTGTTTCAGGGGAGGGCGTGCTACTTGTGTTTTTCTGAGCCATAATTGAACCGTGGTGGAGTGGGCAGGCCCGGGCAAGGATCTGGGAGAATCAGTGTGGGGAGTTCTAGCTCCGTGTTCCACTGTACACTGTACACTGCTTTTCCTACCTCGCAAACAGTCCGTGTCAGCAGTTATTTACGCCGCACTTGATGCAAACCTATTCCAAAAGGTTACAGATATGAATCATCCACGGCCCTGATCCTCCCTATGTCTGTGTCCTGCTAACTCCTTACCCATCTGTCCGCTCCCTCTGCTCAGCAGGCTCCAGCCTGCTTCATGTACTCCCACCCAGCCCGGCTCGCCCCGCCCCGCCATTGGCGTTCGGGCCTTCAGCCTCTCTGCCGCCACCCTTTGGAACTCCATCCCATAGTCCCTTCACCTCCCCCAACTCCCTTGCCTCCTTGAAGGCCCATCTCAAGACCTTCCTCTTCGTGCCTTCGGTCACCCTCCTCCACCTACCCTCCCTGCCCTCCACCCCTCCTGATCCCATTACAAAGAAGGCTTCAGAATAATCTCAGGAGAGGGCGCTGCGGGACGCTACCCCGCATGAAGGGCTCTATATAAATGCAAGTTGTTGCTGTTGTTGAGACAGAAGGAAGTAACTACATGTAGAAGCTGCTTGGTTCTGAGCCACCTTGGCTTATAGTTGGGAATTTAGCAAAGCACCCCCCCCCCCACCTCACCCCTCCCCTCGCTAAATTTAATCTCCCAAATTATTAGGCATTTAAAACCATCAATTAACACATTTGATACCTTCCAAGTACTTTATTCGCAAACAAGGCGGTGTGGGAAACTGTGCTGGTGGAAACTCTCCAGTCTGAAGGCTTGCGTGAGGATCCCCTGCAAGGGGTTTAGTCCTCGTCAGAATGTTTGGCAAGCTTTCACCGGGTAAAAAAAAAAGGAATGGATTGATTTCTACCGGGAACAGAATGGCTCTTTACAAAGACAGCAACTTTTACTTAGGCTGGGCTTCCTTTCAGGTCAGAGAAATGTACTGAATGCACTGAAATAAGATTAACGAAGTGAATATTATGTCCTACAGTTTATATTATTAGATCTCCGCTTTGCCCATTTTTCGCCCAACTTTCCTTGTTTTCAGATCGCGCCTGAAGACCTTCCCGTTCGACTGGTCGCTCCCCCCCCCCACCCCCTCCCTCCGACTCGAGGTCGTGCTCCGCCATTTTTAAGCTCCCTGAGATGCTTGCCCTGCACGAGGGTCGCTGCGTACATGCAAGTCGTTGTTGATATAATGTTGTCCATAGAAACATAGAAAAAATTGCCATGTTCTCTCGAAAGGGGGCCATTCAGTGTCTGTGCCGACAGGCAGCGTGGAAGGTGTTGATCAAGGTCCAAAATAGTGGGTGATTACTCAGTCCTGCCTGTTGTCTGCAGCAACTCACTGAAACAACAACAATTTGTGTTTCTAAAGCGCCCTTCACTCGGGGTAGAGTCCCGGAGCCTTTCACAGCGCTGGAGTCTGACCATGAGCCAGGGAGAGAGGGAGGGGAGGGAGGTGACCGTAAGCACGATCTAAGAGGTCATTAGGCAATATTTGAAGGTGGGGAGGGAGGGGGCAACGTGGAAGGATTGAGGGAGAGAGTTCCAGAGTTTCAGGGAAACTGGATGTCTCACAGCAATGTAAGCTCAGCCCCCCCCCACCCTCCTCTGTCTGAACCACGGTGGGGTGAATGAGGGGCAGGAAGGAGAAAACGAGCTGAAGAAGTGGACGGGGTGGGGGGGGGAAAAGAGAGAAATAAATTAAAAATAAACTGGGAACCAGTAAGTGCCTGGGAAAATCTCCCTTATAAACAAGTCACTCATTTCCCCAGTAACTGGTCACAGCTGGGCTGTGTATAATTATACTGCAATAAACTATAAAAGTGCTCACATTCCCCGAGTCTCTGAGATTCCTTTTAA